AGAGTTGATTAGCGTATCGGGCAATAGTATATAGAATCGGCAGATGTGCTCGGGGGTAATGCAACCTTATGGAAAATAGGAATTTGGATTTGCGTCGGGTAGCATCTGGTAGCCTCGCATGGCGTAGCATCGGGTAAATGTGTTCCCGTCTTTATGCCTGGCGAAAGGCAAGGTAGTTTGCCAGCCCTAAAACTCCCCCCCCCCAAAAAAAATACCAATTTAGAAATCAAATGCGAAGGATAAGTCTTTATATCACTTAACACCGTACCTCAAACGTTATTTCATATATTAGCTTTGGAACAGTAGTAGGCTGATTGTACCGGACGACCCCCTAGGAAAACCTGTTCTCCTGGATTACGAAACTATCAAACTGAAGAAGGAAATAAGTACCAATACTTCAAATACTTCTGTTAGTACAGACTATATGCAGATGGTTCTGTACATCTCTACTCCGGACTTACAATTTTTCGCTCTCATCTTGTCCAGGGACTTCAGGACTCTGATTATGGCAGGCGTCTCACATTCCTTGCACAAATGTCGATTTGGGAGGCTGAAGAAAACGTTTTTCCATACATCCTATGGACTGATGAATCCAAGTTCACCTCTTATAGCATACTAAACCGTTGGAATTTTCGAACATGGGCAGAGGAAAATACGAGAATTTTGTACTCTTGTCATCATCAGGTGGTACATAGTATCAACGTTTAGTGTGAATTTCTCGGACATAACGTAATTGGGCCTTATTTCTACGAAAATAATTTAAATAGTGCTCAGTTCCTAAATTTTTTGAGGGAGGTTTATCGTCGCTATTAGACAATGTTCCCTTGCAACAACGACAAAGAATGATTCTCCAGTTTGATGGATACCCCGAACAAAATTCTTTGCAGGTGAGACGTTATTTGAATCGTCACTTCCGGGATAGGTGGATAGGACCTATGGCTCGATCTGTTGGCCTCCTCGGTTATCCTATTTAACTCCACCTGACTGTTTTCTGTGGGGGGCCATTTAAAAAACAGTGTCTACGTCATTCTTAACCAAGTAACCTCAGATGAATCACTGTGGCAAAGGATAGAAAATGCTTGCCAATCCATTTCCGCCGACTGTATCTCTCCGAGCACCGGTGAAGAGTAGTTAAAAAGAGCAAATCTTGCATCTTTACGCATGGCAGGCAGTTCGAACATGAAATGTGTTTAATAAATAGCAAACCAAATGACAGTTTTTCGACCATAGCTTTATCATTTTTTTACCAATTTAAAATTCGATTGCACCATTGTTTTCAGGGTAAAAATCCTTTAAAATAATGTGTAAGGATATATAGGGTCGTATTTGAAATTTTGAAATTGAACTAAGCCTGACGTACCCTGCATAATTTTTCTCCAAAAACGTAAAAATTTGAAAATAGACGAAAAATTTTAAAATTTTTTGTTTTTGTGGTAGCGTCTAATATATATATATATTTTTTCTATCACCAGATATATCTATTTATTTATCTATATATCTATATATTCTATACAAATATATTTTCCATCTACACTGAATACAAAGAGATGCCTGGTCACATTTACTACTCCCAGAATACTCGATATTCCTCGGCATTATGTTATAGTTCAAGAACTATTTTTGATAAGATGGGAAATCTTATTAGTAGGCTATGAAGGCGCATTATTTTATTTTAGTTTTTGAAAAAGCTAAATCCCTTCCAACATTTCGGACGCAGGAATGCGGATTTTCGCGAACATACAGTAAAATATTCAGCTTCTTGGTGATGGAACAACGACTGATCCGCATCTCCTCATATTGCGAGCTACACGAACAATATGGTGGTTTAATCTGAGGCGATCCGGAAATTTCTGGGAGTACGACGCGCAGTAACACCACTATCAATAAAGCGGTCGTGCATATCAACTCGCTGTTGATCGGAAAAATGTGCTCTTCGGTTCATTGTGAAGGGAATACTAAATGTAACGAATAGGTATTCCTGTAAAATGTATTTACTTCCAGGAATTTATATTTACTCTCATAACGCGAGTTTGACAAACAATGAAAGAAGGCAAACAATAAAGGCAATTAATGTTAATTTTCGTTTCTTCAAACTTTTTGTCATAACTTTATCATTTTTTGACCAATTCAAAATCCGATTGTTGTATGTTTTCAGCGTAAAAAAATGCCTTAAAATGATATATCAGGATGTATAGGGTCATATTTGAAATTTTGATGTTGAACTGGGCCTGAGGTACCCTGTATAATTTTTCTCCAAAAAGGTAAAAATTTGAAACTAGACTAAAAAAATTAAACACGTATTTATTTATAGCGTCATTGGTTCAAGAGAAATTCAGCCGGGCTATGTCAAAAAAACACCCCCAAT